TACTTCTGCACAGTAAAGGCACTCTGAGACTGAGATTTAGTTAAAAAAAAACACTTGCTATGGAAAAATACAAACAAATCAATGTTCGTGACTAAAACTTCCTAGCATAGCATAATCTGCTGTTTTACGAATATGCTATTAGTTAACAATTAATCTCATGATTGTGTATCCTAAATATAGTAATAAAGTAGTAGCCTGATCCAAGCTTCAAGTGATGATTTTATTAAAAAAAATTAATATAGAAAAAATATGAATTTATCAAGCTCTACAGAGCCCTAACCTGATTTTTGATTCTTTGGCCTATATAGGTTTGAAGACCTCTTAATGTGCTCATGAAGAATTTCTAATTTACAGAGAAAGTACAGTGGTGAGCAGTATGAAAAGCAACATATTAAATATATGCTATGCCCATAGCTAGAATACAGGCCAGAAAATGGGCTCATTGGTCTAAAAAATAAGATGGTAATTGGAGAAAATTTAAAGAATTAGAAAATTCTTCTCATCATGGGAAAAGATGAGAACAGTGCATCTTACAGTAGTGGTGCATTCAAAGTAATTCGGAAGTTCTGGTTCTGTTTCATGAAAGAATAGCAAAACTGCAGTCATGAAATGATGCAATTTAATTAAAAACAGTACTATTAAAATTTCTGCTTTGTTATTACTTAGGCTTAGTGTCAACTACTGGAGTCAAGAGATTTGAATAGGAAGAATAGCTAGAGTCAATGACACAAAGCTCTGAAAGCATTCACTTTAAAATTGTAGCTATTTCATTTCAGGGCTTCACGTATAATCTGAAGTGTCTAGCATCTATTTTCCCATGCCAATGCTGTTGAAAGGCAACTGCTAACTTGCTTGCTTTTCTACTGTTTTTTAATTAAGCTACTCCTACCCGTTAAAATCTTGGGTTTTCTTGGTTTTTGTTGCATTTTCTTAACTTTTAAATCTTATGTTTCTGGCCAAAGTAGAAACTCAATACAATAAGAAGGGTGGGCATCTAAACTGGTTTCTTCTGCTGACTCTTTTCTATTTATTCGCTAGACCAGAGTATTTATGTCATAGTGGCAAACTAAGATATACTGACTCTACAAGATTGTATTTCTCCCTTCTCAGGAGACCTTCACTCGGTGGATTTGCTCTTCAACCTGGATCGTGTTACTGCTCTAGAGCACTTACTCAAGTCTGTCTTGCTCTATTCCTTTGACACATCAGTTCCCATTTCTTCTGCCACTACATGCATGTGCCATTTATCTGTTACGGAATATGATTTTTCTAGCCAAGTGTGTCCAAGTGTTTCACACTCTATAGCTCTTAGTTTGCACGTTGAAGTTAGAAAACGCAAGTGGGTTGAGATTGATGTGACTTCTTTTCTCCAGCCTCTAATTGCTACTAACAGGAGGAATATTCATATGGCTGTAAACTTCACTTGTCTAATGGGTGATCCACAACATAACACTAAACAGGAAAATTCCATTAACATGGCACTGGTTCCCCCTTCTCTTCTTCTTTACCTGAATGATACCAGTGAGCAAGCTTATCACAGGTGGAACTCACTTAGGCATAGAAGGAAAAACCCAGTGTGGCCCAGGCAAAGGAACAATCTGCTTGCTGATCCTATGGATGGCCAAGGAAAAGAAAATACACAGAGTAAAAGGGCCTCTCGACGTCGAAGAGATGAGCATTTGAAAGAAGCTCCAGCAGCACCACCTTATAATTTGAGTGAATATTTCAAACAGTTTCTGTTTCCTCAGAACGAGTGTGAGCTTCACAACTTTCGTCTAAGTTTTAGCCAACTAAAATGGGACAAATGGATAATAGCACCTCATAGGTACAGCCCTCAGTATTGCAAAGGTGACTGCCCAAGAGTAGTTGGCCATCGTTATGGCTCTCCCGTACATACAATGGTACAGAACATAATATATGAGAAACTGGACTCATCTGTTCCGAAGCCATAGAGCCCGACGGTTCTATAGTCTATAAAGAATATGAAGATATGATAGCTACTAAATGCACTTGTCGGTAGTGGGTGAATCCTAATTTATGTTTTCTCTTGGCTTGGGGTTTTTTTGCATTCTCAAAGTAATCTGTAACTATGATCAACTGAATAGTGTTTGTGTAGTTCTAATAGCTCCTTATAATCAGCTAGGATTTACCATGGGGTTAGTAGAAGGTATTCACATAATAGCACTTATTTTTGTAGCCACTCAGCCTTTCTAGAATGTGAAAATAAATGTAAATAATAGCTTTTTACTGGAATAATTTTTGCATTTAAAATGTGGAAGCAGTTTCAACTACCAGATAGTTATTTTAAGCTGTTTTGTTATAGATAAAAAAAAAAAAAGGAATAAATGCCTATCATGCATACTACTTATGTTTGATGCCTGTGTTTAGTCTCCCTCCATATAAAGAAATCCTATATATGACATTTCTGGGAAGTATCTAGGAAAAGCAGACAGTCTTTAATGTTAAATGTTTCTCAGTTGCTCATTCTTTTTCTCTAATATATTTCTAATTCCCTCAAAGAATCAGAAAACTCGTCCTTACAGTTATGTTAAAAAAAAAAAAAATGAAGAAAAGCAAGGAAAGTCTTCTGTCACACTGTGAAGGCTTTCTCAATGATCGGTGATAGAATATTCTCCAAATAATATATTTACTTGATTTACCTGGAATTTCAGGACAGCTGTGTGGCAACTTGTAAAAGCTATCTTCTGTTTGAATAAGAACCTGCGTCAGCTTACTGTTGAGCTCTTAAAAACAAGAATGCTTGATCTATTCTGAGAACAAAATACAAACTGTTTACAGGGTTAGGGTACAAAACTCTACATGTAAAATTATATTGCCCCATGCTTCTGAATTACAAAGAAGTGTTCAATACTGTCACACATTTTTAAAAAAGGCTTTCAGAAGCCTGTTAAATCTGTTTATTTAAATGCTATTAAGTCTTTTGGTAGTCTGAAATTAAATCTGAAGACATGTAGAAGCATAGTCTCATTTCCTCCCCCAATAAAAATGTAGGTAACAACACCTTAATTCTATGTTTTTTTGCTAAATCTCCACTGTGATTGATTGATTTTTCTCCTAGATTTCTAGTTCTAAGGATTTTGTTGAAAGTGCTTGCTTTAGGCTAGTGACCCAACCTGAAAAAGCTCTAGGTAGTACTTCTATGAAAACAGCTTTGGTGGGGACTTTTTTTTTTAATAGGAGGTTGAGACAGCCTTATTCTATTTTTTTGAAACCTGTCCTGTAAGAAGTCTCTTAAATGATGGCTTGCCAATGTATCAATGCACAGACTGATTACTGAGCAGACCCTAACGTTAGCTCTTGATGAGGGCCTGAGCAGGCAGGGCTGGAAATGCCCTCCTGGCAGAGAAAGGATTTTTCTTTCTCAGGGAGATTCTTCCTATTCCAATCTCGACTCCAGTAGTTGTCAGTAAGCCTAAGTAATAACAAATCCCAGGGGGCTCTTCCCAGTGCATTGATATTACAGTGAAAATGTAAAGGTGGTAATGGTTTACCTTGTACGGTGTGACGTAGTCAACATTAATGTGACACTTTTATAAATGTGGAGTACTCTGCAGAGATGTCATATTAGCTGGGTAACAGTCATATAGCATCTATTTAAATTAAGTTGCTAAGTGAAAATTACAGCAGCTTGGAATTCTTGAACTAAAAATACTGCCTGCTTTGGCTCTAATTGAAGGTACATTTGAAATAAATACTAAGAGCTCAAAGCAAATATCTTGACTATGGGCTGGGATTTTTTTTTTAACTTTAACAATACATTTGATTGGTTTAAGAGAACTTTCTTGCCTAATGCAGTGCCACTCCCGTTACTTTCAAACAGAGTGGGAATTCAGCTTTAACTATTGGTCTAAGGAATAAAACAGAGTTTTTCTTTCTTTGGTGCAAATGATACGTATACAGAAAAGCCTATTTAAGACAAAGTGCTTAAGCTAAAGAAACTGCATTTGGGTCAGCTAAAATCCAAGCACGCTTTCAGAAAAATGTAACCTCTGTAACGGATTAAAGGTTTAGTCTACATTCTCTAGGATAAACTTACATTTGTGCACACCATTTGCGTGCAATAATACATATTAAACATAATGAAGGCGCCTTGCTGTAGAGGCATGACAGACAAAGTCGTGACTGCCACAGAAAGGTTACGTGTTGTCAGTGGCCTCCTCTGTGAAGACACTGGGAGTTATTCTGTATTCCTGAGCAGTTAATAAACAGTCCCTTACTGCTTCTATGAAGTTTCTAGTTCACTACTCTTTTTCTTCCCTGCTGCCATGCTGAACAAAACATTTACGCTCCTCTAAAGTGACTACCCAATGAGGTTTTCATTCTTTGGAAGGGCTTTGCTGTAACAAATGAATTACATGTTTTGTGCTAGAAAACACGCCAAAGCAAATCATATGATTTGCCAAACTTCATGAATAACACTTATCTTTCTTTAACTGCACAGGATAATTGCTCAGTATTAAAAAAAAAAAAAAAAAAAAAAAAAAGTTATGAGTGCTGGGAGAATCTGGTGATAGTGTTAGATGCAGTGTGGTTTCTGCATAAAGTTGATTGATAGGCCTCAACTTTATGTAACCAGTCCTATTGTCAGTGTTAGTAAATACAATACATTGGGGGAAATGTTAAGGAAACACAAGCCTGTAATACAACTCGTAAAGTGTGTAATGCTGCAGACCTTGGCTGTGCAGCATCCTCGGGAAGTGCCCGGCTGCGGAGCGCGTTAGCCGTGCTGGAGCACTCTTGCAGCTGAGGCAGGAAGCCCGTCTAGTCTAGAAACATGTAGATTTCTATAAAAATGAGTGGAGAAAAAAAAAGAATTCGGTCCCACACCATGTGGTGTGGTTGACTGTGTGAAGATGAACTGACAGACTGGTGGGCCCCAAGGGACTGACTGACTGATGGACTGACTGACAGAATGACCGACTGATGGACTGATGGATGGACTGGCTGACTTACAGATGGGCTGACTTATGGATTGACTGATGGACAGGCAGACTGATGCACTGACAGACTGGTTGATGGACTGGCTGACTGACAGATGGACGGATGGACCACCTGATGGACTGGCTGACTGGCTGACTTGGCTGAGTGATGAGACTAATGGACGGACCAGCTGACTGACTCATAGATGGACTGAGAGAGTTTGGCTGGCTGGCTGACTGGTGAGCTGATGGTTTGGCTGACGTTTGGCTGACTGACAGTTTGGCTGATTGACAGAGGGACTGACTGCCTGGCTGACTGACAGACTGGTTGACAGATTGGCTGACAGACGGACAGACTGATGGCCTGGTTGAGGACTAATGGACAGAATGGTGGTTGGGCTGCCTGATAGGGGGACAGGCTGACTGAGGATCGACCATTAGGCTGACTGACAGAGGGACAGGCTGATGGGACATGGGCTGACAGGGGCACAGGCTGACAAGCCAACAGGGGCACAGAGTGACAGGACACAGGCTGATGGGGCACAGGCTGACAGGAGCACAGGCTGACAGGCTGATAGGGGCACGGGCTGACAGGGCATGGGCTGACGGGGACACAGGCTGATGGGACACAGGCTGATAGGGGCACAGGCTGATGGGGCACAGGCTGACAGGAGCACAGGCTGATAGGGGCACGGGCTGACAGGGCATGGGCTGACAGGGACACAGGCTGATGGGGCACAGGCTGACCGACACAGGCTCACAGGCTGACAGGGACACAGGCTGACAGGCTGATGGGACAGAGGCTAACAGGAACACAGGCTGACAGGGGCACAGGCTGATGGGGACAGAGGCTGACAGGGACATAGGCTGACAGGGCACCGACTGACAGGACAGAGGCTGACAGGCCACGGGCTGACAGGGACACAGGCTGACAGGGACACAGACTGACAGGCCACAGGCTGACAGGTCACCGGTTGCCGGGGGAACACGCTGACGGGGCACAGGCTGAGGGGGGGGGGGGCGGGCGGGGGCGGCGGAGGGGCAC